GTCAGAGGGTAGGGGCGAGAAAAGAGGTCAAGCGAATCAGTTTCCGGTTCCGGTTTTTATCCAGGCAGATGTTGAGATGCATTCATTTCATTCATTCATCTATTGCCGTCTAACTCTGTATATGAAAGCCTGGGTATGGTTCAATCGTTTACGGGCAGATGAATGAGATTCATCGTTGAATAGCTAGTTTGTTGGAGAAAGGAGACGCGGACAGGACCGTACTGGGCTGAACAAACGGAAATCATTGTGAGATATAAAATATGGTGAGAGTAACTGTATGAAAATATGCAGCGCTAACGTAAAGACTCATCGAAGATATAACAGTATTTACAAGGTTCAAATTTAATTTGGGATGTTTTTAGTATTCAGGATTTTGCATATTAGAGTAATGTTTCGATTGAAAATTTTAAACGATTTTTTAAATTTCTCCCGAACACTGATAACATACATTTATCACTCATGGGAATCAGATTCAGACAGGGAGGTGTCTAAAAACGGTTTGTGAGAATATTAATATGAAACTGTTATATTATGATTGAAAAAGATGCCCAACCACAGATTAGGAGCCATCCATAAATCACGTCGCACGAATTTCATGGTTTACGACCCCCTCCCCGTCACAATTGGTCACATTTGTGAGACCCCATCTTCCTAGTGTGACTTCACGTATTTTACAATTTTACATCTACCCTGATGCAGTGTAGAAATAATTATTGAATCAATACAGCAGTTCCGAAATTCGTTTCAATTCAATTTAAATTACTTTTTGAAGAAATCAATAAAAACACAATTTCCACTAGTTATTTTATTTTTACAACTGGTTTCGGATTTTATCCGAAACCAGTTGTAAACCAACTACCCCGCTAGAAAGCGGGGTAGTTGAATGAACATGGGTGCCAACTATATAATCAACACTGCAGATTATAGGGGTTGTCAAACTTATAGCTTTCCTAAAAACTCCCTATATAACCTAGTTTTCAAATTTCACATGTTAGTTTAATAATTGATAGTTTAGTTTTTCTGACTCCAAATCAGTAGTTCCATTACTGCAAACGTTTTTGAGTTGTTCGTTAATAGTTCAAAGGTAGTATTTTGGAACTTGGACTATAATAGCTTTTGAAATGTGACGTCACGAAATTCAGAACCCCTCTCACCCCTTGTCACACAATATCGCCCTTCGTCGACCCCCTTCTTACCCCTTCACGTGTGACGTAATTCATGGACGGCCTCTGGGCACTAACCACTTGACCAAACTTAAATTTGTTAATAGTTTGTTTACAAAATTCTCTAATAATTTCAGAGAATGTTTCATTATCATATAACAAGTCAAATATTGATATTTTATGGAAAAATTACATGCCACCTATTGAGGTTTTATCCTTAATTAGTTGACAAAAATGAACACAATGATTTTTTCTCGAAGTTCTTCGAGATGAAATAGATAAATCTGAAACGCCTACAATTAATCGTTTGCAAAAAAACTGATCATTCTGGTATCTCATAAAAAAAAAACGTGGTTATAAAGAAAGCGGCAATCATTTAATAGGAATTTTTGCTAGAAATTGGTCTAATTCAATGGTTTTATACGTGGACTGTTCAAAAAATACAAATTTCGCGGGATACATACATTCGATCAGCGATTTTTTTATGTTGGTACATTCGTCTGCAAAATATCTTTACAATGGATCAAAGAATTTGCATCAAACTTTGTGTGAAAAGTGGAATAAAATGCTCGCAAATACTTGAAATGTTGAAAGTGGCATACAGTGTTTGTACTCTGAGTCAGAAAAATGTTTACAAGTGGTACAAGCTTTTCACAGAAGGTCGAGAAGATGTGAATGACGACGTTCGCGCTAGACGCCCCAGCGATGAAAATGTTAAGAAAGTGGAGGAAATTGTTATGGAGAGTTGTGTAATCACTATTAGAGAGTTTCTGAGGATGTCGGCAAATCGGTTGGGTCATGCCATGCAATTTTTTCGAAAATTTTGGACATGAAGCGTAGCAGCGAAGCTCATTCCAAAATTGCTTAATTCTGACCAAAAACCCGTCGCATGAGCATCGCTGAGGAATTGTTGAATTACGTCAACGACGATCCAGATTTGCCTAGAAGCGTCATAATTGGTGACGAATCATGGGCATATGGTTATGACATCGAAACCAAAGCCCCATGGTTCCAATGGAAGAGCCCAGAAATGTCAAGATCAAAAATAGCACGACAAGTTCGATCAAATGTCAATGTTTCGCTCACTGTTTTCTTTGATTACCGTGCCTGAGTGCATCAGGAGTTCTTGCCACATGCGCCGTTTGTGAGAATCATTACGAAGGAAACGTCTGTTATTGTCAAAAATAATTCATGGTTTTTGATCACGATAATGCACATGCTCACTCGTCATTGCTTGTTTCTAATTTTTTTGGCCAGAATACCGTAATCATGCTCCAGCCACCGTATTCACCAGATTAGCCCCCCTGCGACTTTTTTCTGGTCCCAAGTGCAAAAATTGGAAAAAACGCTGGCAGGTGTATCATATCTCAGGGGAATTACTTTGAAGGGGACCAAATTATGTATGAATAAATATTGTTTTGAGAAGACAGAGTACATTTCTTTATCGAAAACACTTATGATCTTACTCTGGTAACTAACTGGAAAGTTTTGACGCAAATAATTTGGTTCATCTTGTTTCATTTTCAGTTTCTTAGTAGTTTGAACCTGATCATCAGTATTTCATTGCCAAAGCTGAAACTAATATTGGACTAGTCAGAATCCACATTCGGAAATATGAGTCACACCCAATATCCACGAGTGTGGTAAGCTGGAGCAGATGAGATCTTAATATCAGGACCACTTTTCATCGAAGGTTAATGTATTGGCGGAAATTCTTGGAGATGCCGCAACAACATATTATTCCAGCAATTTCTGCATTATATATAAATGTCAATAACCATGACTGTCCAGAAAGGTAGATTGGTAGAAGCGTAACAGTAAGATCTCCCTTATTCCGTTAGATTTTTATTGAATAATCGAAAGTCCAGAGTTTATTTCAATAGACCGACGAAAACTGAAGAACAAATGTAAGTTTTTGGGAAAGAAAGTTTTTAGCTTTCTACTACTCCATCTTGATGCAAAAAAAGGATGAGGGAATCTTCCAAAGAAAGGAAGGAAGTAATCAATTTGAAAATGAGTAACTCTATACATGGATGTGTAGATCATGCAAAGAAGTAACTTTCAGACACAAACTGAAACAAAGTCCTCCTGAAACAGCTTCTTTCATATAAACATTGAATTACACGAAAGAAAAAAATTCTTTCGAAACAAATACTTCTATATGAACACTGAATTATACAGAAGATACTTTTCTCTACTCAGTTTGTATTTCAAACATTCGTTGTGGAATAAAAATCAGATATCATTCACATGAGTTCTACTTTAAATGAATGGTAACAAATTGCACTTACATGGAAAACTGTCATCCTCACTGGTATACATCGATGTTTCGCCTTAAGACACTTGCCCCAAGGCCCTTCAGTACCAAATCGGATAACATTATAGAAAATATACACAATTCATTCATGAATTACGATTTTTAATGTCACGGAATTAGCTTGATCTGCTTATATCATCATTTTCAAATTGATTACTTCCTTCCTTTCTTTGGAAGATTCCCTCATCCTTTTTTTGTATCAAGATGGAGTAGTAGAAAGCCAAAAACTTTCTTTCCCAAAAATCAATCACTCCTAAAAATATAAGCCCTTCAATTCAAATGTAAGTTTTCATGATGATATTGGGAAAATTACACATGAAATAATTTCGAACATTCCGCGATATTCAGTCTCTAGTATGTGGATAATGACAGATTTGCTAGCTTTGCATTTGCATTGAATTGGTTTTGAAAATATATCGTGTATGAATTTTAGGTACCTTATGATCTATGGGACATGCTGATTGAAAAATTAGTCATTTAGGTCATTCCTTTGATATGCATCGCCCTGTGGAGTGAAAGAATTTTTAATAACAACATAAAAGAAATTCTAAAATTACAACCTCCATTTGCGAACTGTTATATGAGGCGAGCAAATACCATAATAGCAAAAATTGATAAGGAATCTTATTTGAATTGAAGGGGTTATATTTTTAGGAGTGATTTTTTTTTTTGGCTTTGGTTTTTGGCTTTCTACTACTCCATCTGATACAAAAAAAGGGATGAGAGTATGTGAGTACAATTCATTACCATTCATTCAAAGTAGAACTCATGTGAATGATATCTGATTCTTATTCCACAACAAATGTTTGCAACACAAACTGAGTAGAGAAAAGTATCTTCTGTGTAATTCAGTGTTCATATAGAAGTATTTGTTTCGAAAGAATTATTTTCTTTCGTGTAATTCAATGTTTATATGAAAGTAGCTGTTTCAGGAGGACTTTCTTTCAGTTTGTATCTGAAAGTTACTTCTTTGCATGATCTACACATTCATGTATAGAGTTTCAAATTGATTACTTCCTTCTTTTCTTTGGAAGATTCTCTCATCCCTTTTTTTGTATCAGATGGAGTAGTAGAAAGCCAAAAACTTTCTTTCCCAAAAAAAAATTATATACATGTTTTTGACTAAAATTTAGAGTTTATATCACAGGTGAATGTAACATATCATAAAAAAAGTGTTTTTTCCTAACATATCTAGAATAGTTGAACATGAAAACAAGAGATTTGTTGAACAAAGAGTGAAACTATGTAAGAGTGCGAACTTATCTTTATCCTCTTCGTACTAATATGTCATAATAATTTCAATATTTTCTATTCATTCGATATACCGTTACATTGCTCAAGCCACCCAATCATAAAGTTGATCAACATTTCAAACAACCCACAGATCTAACATTTTTCGCAACCTCCACAAGTCCCGACACCCACGCCAAAATTAGCCAGTCCACCCCTGTCGTGGTCGACATCGAGGCGAGGCTATGGCTGCACGCGTCTGCGCTTCACCGATTTGGCATCCGCTCTGTATCCCACAGAAACTTCAACGAATCGTGGAAAACAAGTTCTTATCGCAAGAATTTTGTCGATTTTTCGTATTGTGCAACTCGAATTGCTTGTGCCAGAAAACAAAGTGGGGGCGACTGAACGTTTTCGTGAACATTGTGGGCCCTGTTTCGGTCAGAAAATTCAGGAAAACCGCCTATCAAAGGATTTATCACCCGGCTGACATGGCTGCCAAAGCTATCTCGATAGTAAGTGCGCGCAAGATAGTTTCTGGCTTGAACAACATTACACCCTAAAGTGGTGCGGATTCACCACCCTCCCTTGTGCAGTGTATACCGAAATCAATGCAACAGTGTGAGAGATCCTGCGATCCGTAGTATCCTGGTAGCAAAGGTAAGTGGACTTTATTTATATTTAGATTTAGGCTACTCTTGGCAGCGTCGTGGTAAACAAATCTTGTGCGAGGAGGGAGACATTAGCTCGTTGCATTCATGCAGATTATTGCGTGATGAATGTTGAAATAGTACCGGAAGCTCCCAGTTGTAATTTACACTATTTTTTAATCCTTGACTGGATATACAGTATGTTCATTGTAGCAATATCCCAAGGGCATTAGAAAATGTCGTCATGTTCAATAAGGGGTGATTGTAAGTTCAACCTCCCTACTACCCTATCTTTCAAACCACCTAAAATTAATTGCACAAGTTTCGTTCTTCACCCCAACAAACTAGGAAATGCCCAAGAAGTAAAACAAATTAAATAAAAGGAAAATAGAAAGAAAGGGAGGCGTAACACATTTTTAAACTCAAGTGGGTAGTCCCTTAGTTGAATTCCGAAGATGTCAATATTGGAAAGCAAGCTAGGCGCATCCAGGAATTCTATTAACACCCAGGATTTTGTTTCAGGGGCTAAATAATGAGACATGCTTTACAAAAAATTCAACTAAGGTAGATCAGAAAAATAAAAACCTTATAGAGAACTAAGATGAATTTCAAGTTGCCAATTTATGATAATGAAATACTTAATTAAAATTAATTCACTTAATCAACTCAATTTTTGATGTCTTTAGGGAAGTGAAGCCTGAAAAACTCCCCAGCTGCAGACCTGAAATTCAAATCATTCAAGCCAAGTTCAACAACCACTTGGACATCTATTATTATTATTTAACGAAAGGTTGTTCCAGTCAGCCGTTTCTCCGGATCCTCGATACATGTGGCGATCTCCATGTTCTCCGCTCCGTGACCTTTGCATTGTCCCCCTTTGACATGGACCGTTTCACTACCACTGTAACCCTCGCAGTGCAGGTTTTATTATGATTTATAACTCAGCCAAACAAATCCAGCACTTATGTTTCATCATTTTCCAAATAAACACATCCTAAGTATCAGCATATGATGATTCAGTCTAACAATTATTTGGTACAATGCTCCGAAGGAGCATTGTACCAGATATGGACCGATACTGGTAGATTTTGCCAAAGTACTAATCCTGGTAGAAACTCTTCTTGCAGTTCTGGTATTCATTGTTTGTTTGGCAAAGCCTACAGCAATACCAGTGGCAGGTTCTGGCCCGATGAAATCTCTAGGTAATCTAGACTAGATGCAATTTGTTAAGTCTTCATATTGAAGGGAGTCTTTTTTGGCAGTTCATTACCAATTTGGACGTTACCCGGTAGAGTCAAGTGCTTCCAAAAGCACTTGGTGGTCCGAGAATATTTTTTTTAATATGTATAAGATTGGTTTCTTCCAATCTCTTCACAATCAAATCAATGGCAACTATTTCTGCTTGAAATATGGCCGCCTATGTCTCTAGGCAAGATGATATATCTTGTCTTAGATCTGCCACTTGGAACCTGCACCAAAGATGTTTTTGATTCATCTGTGAACGAATAACAATCTGCTCTCAGTATTTCCTACTCCTAGAGTATCCAGTCATATCTACTTGGATTAGGACTGCACGAGGGAGTTCGTAGTTGACAGTTGGAGGCATACCAAGTCAAGATTCCCAGAATGATCTGACTTTCAGTGTCAGCCACTGTTCACATAGGCCTGTTTTGTGCAATTGGCAATATGCATAATTCTGTATGATGTCCATCTAGTGTAGATGTGGAAAGGAGGTAAGTCTGTAAGGACTTCATTTGCCGCTGATAGTGTAGTGCAGTGACGTTCAGGAAAACCTGTCTATGTATGTCAGAGAGCATTATCATTAGTCTGATAATCATCAAATACATCAGTATTCGTCCCATCATTAAGTGTTCAGCTTATTTGGACTTGAAACTGCATAGTTCTTCGAGCTCCAGGGGGCTCCTCGATCCTTCGGAATTTGAGATTTTCCATGATTCTTACTCTTGAAATATTCTAAAACTCACATTCATATTGATAAACATAATTGAAATGATGGGATGGAACTGACTTTGATATATTTCTTCATTAAATTATCCTCAGTGGAATGTACATCTGCTAGTTGACTTTGACCAAGAAGACTCACATATGATGTGAAGATATTATGTAGAATAACTTAAGCATCATTGTGTCATGTCCAAATTCATTAACACTTTCCTGAGATGGTAATAAACATTATTAAGATATTGAAATAACTTTTGTTATTAGAGTACACTCCAGTTCTGTTCTCAACTGATTAGCAAACACTACCATCCGGGTGTACATCCGTTGACATTATCACGACGTTTCGGCAAGATCACACTTGCCATGGGTGCCAAATGGGTAAAGGTAAAATTCGCTTTAAACTAGCACTGTTCGATTTGAACAATACATCCAATGTAATAGTTAGTATATAAGTTAGGATATAAAAATCGATCGTTCACCTTCCAGATAAACTGGACAAAAAAAGTTTATTGTTAGAGACTTCTTGGTGTTTTGTGTTTAGTCTCGAAAAGAAGCACTGCACGAATATTTACAAAGGCTACAAACGCTTAACAGTAGGATTTCTGACTGGCCACTGTCTACCAAGGAAACACCTCCATAATATGAGGCTAGTGGACCCACCTCTATGTGAACAGGAAGATGAAACTGTCAGGCACGTCCTATGCGAATGTCCGTGGTTATTGTCAATAAGAGAGTGTGTGTTCGGTGAGCCTTGACCTGAACCAGCCGATATAAAGGAGATGTCTCGGAGACCTCTCCACCTTCCTGGAAAGGACAGGATGGACGATGACCTAGGAGGACAACTCCTTGGGAGGATGTACAATAGGTCACATGTGGCCTGAGTGCTGTGGTCCTACTCTACAGATACAGATAGGCTACAAACGATTTTTATATTCCAAATCGTTTCTGTCGTTCTCCTTAGATGAAAGCTGCATTGAACTTCTGCAACCTCCCTCGTACTCTCAAACAGATAGTTTATTTCGTTTGGTTGAGGCAGCAGTTCATTCACCTTAGTAAGTCAGCACAAAAACTCAATATTAAATAGTCTGTTTCCGTTCGAACTGGGGGAACTCAGAACTTTTTCTCAAAGAAATGTTTTACTGTCTTATTTTTAGCTGCCATACCGTTGTTGGTTGTCGACAAAATGTAAACAACTTTTTATTTTTTATTGACTAATGTATCCCCGTCGTTGCCACTAGTGATTACAAACATTTTTTAACTGCGTTCCTCGTTATTGTTTCTACATGTGTAATTAGTTGGGATGAGGTATTTGGTTGTTTACATTGGGTGCCACATGTTTTATTCGAAGAGGTGCAGGTTTCGGACTGTATTTATCAACCGAAGAAAGGCGTTGGTAAATAAATTGAAATACTACACAGTGTTTCGTGTGAAGAATGTACTCGGGTTGAAACTGCCATAACAACCAGAACTAATTTGGTAAAAAAACTTTCACCTCCTTATTATGAGAGACTGGTTCGAGAGTGGATAGATAACAATTATCCAATTCGATGGATAGGCAAACGTGGTCGTTTAGAATGGCCGCCAGATCACCTGATATGATACCCTTGGATTTATTGAGTGTAGTTCATCACAGAGCCCATGAATTGAATGTGATGTTCTTTTAATGTGCCACCTTTTGCAAAAATCATCAATATTGATGACTAAGTGTTGCTCGCGACTTTATTTGCGTGGAATTCTGTTTTTAGGTAAAAGAGCACAAAGTATTTGCCTATCTTTCATTTATAAAAAAATCGTTTCACAAACAATAGATATGCCGTAACGAAATTTTAGCTATATTACTGGAGTTCTATCCCAATACCAAACTGACATTTTCAACACCTCGACACGTGTTTCGATCACCAAGTGATCATCTTCAAGAGGAAGGTCAAACTGGATTATATTGGATTGAACAGGTCAGGTTCCAAACAGTGCATCACAAGAAAATTGTAGCCTACTCTAATGAACAATATTTTTATGAATATGGCAACAGTCGAAGTGAAGCGTATACTGAAAATGGTCCTGGTATGTTAGTACTGCTGTTGTACCTAATTGGTTCCACCCTTCTTCAAATCAATTGAAGCTCGCAAGAACGCTGGAGAATAGTTTCAGGTCAGTCAGAATGAGTGGAGTGAGTGGGATAAACCACCGACACCCATCCAACCGACTACCGTACCGCCAGGTGTTCTGTTATTTCTCAGGGACATATTTCAGGTCCATTCATGACTTGGGGTGATTTTAGATAATTTCAAACCATAAGAAATAACATATCAATGTTGCATGCAATGTTGCATTATTCCAAATTGAAATTTGGGATAATAAATTGAATATATATATATTGAATATTCTCATTTAGTTTTTGGTTTTACTAGTAGAAAGGTACCACGTCAACAATCTCTAAAATGGTTAATTCTCGTCCATTGGAAAAAAAATTTTTATTTACAAAATTAAAATGGTACACCAATTAACTGATTGAAGAACAAAATTCTGCGAAATCGTGACGGAAACCATTGCAAGTCATCCTACCTATCTCCACAATATTTGTCCATATTGCGTCCAGTCGCCATCTTGAAAGTTTCATATGTCAGTTTCACTTCAAAATAAATTATCCATGCATTAGTTTCATTATCTGAAATTTCAATTTTTTTAGTTGACCCGTTCAAAAAATAAAAGGGGGGACATTAAAGAAATGCACTGTATAATTATTACAGACCAAGGGATTGAAAAACAAAGTATCACATAACAAAATATTTGAGTTTTACATTACATTTGGTGTATATTTTCAGTATGGAATGTAATTTTCCCGAAAATTCACCATATCATTTTGGGGAGCAAATTTCCACCGCAATATTCACTGATAGGGAACATCTTTATTTTGTAATATATTCGAAATAATTTAGTTTAATCTGTAAAGGCAAAAAATAAATAAAAACAAAATGATTAAAATTCAAACCCAATTTACTTTTTAGGCTATCCTCACCATGTAAATCAATAATCAAATCATACAAGATG